CGGAAGATGTGAGCGCGCCGGCGAGTGATAATGTCAGCTGGAGAGATACGGCGTGTCATTTTACACAACCACACATCAAAAAGACAGTGGGGGGAGAGAAGAGAAGACAGCATGTCATTTGTTTGCTTTGATACAAGATCGTACCGAGGGAGGGACGGGAAAGCTCTGAGTGAGTGTGTGTGTGTGTGTGTGTTTGTGTCTTTTAGACATATGTTTGTGTGTCTCGCACATGAGCAGATGAAGGGATAGGGTTTCAGGGATATCCTAAATGTCTTGTATCAAGTTTCCCCATAAACGGACAGGCACACATGGAGCTGGCACAGTTCTTTCATGTCTGACTCTGGAGCTCTTCGACATTAGCATCTCGGAGGCCGTGTCACACCACACACTTCAAATCATAATTGATCCAGTTTTGATGATTGCTGTACAGTAGCGGGGTTTGTTTTGACCAGCTGGGGAAGATGTATTCAGACGTGTTACTTCAGTAAAAGTAGCAATACTACAGTGTAAAATACTGTTGCAGGTAAAAGGCCTGCATTCAAAATCGTACTTAACAGGAGAGTTCATCTTAAAACCAAAAATACATATTTATCCTCTTACTTGCAGTGCTATTTATCAATCTAGATTGTTTTGGTGTGAGTTGCCTAGTTTTGAAGATATCGGCCGTCGAGATGTCGGCTTTCTTGTGAACATAATATCGGTTTGTGGTGCTCGAAGCGTAAAAAAAATACATTTGAAAAAAACAACAACTCAACAGCAGTGTTTCTTTACACTAATCATAACGCGGCTTCTCATGGTTATCCACAGACCTTATTGTGAGCATGTAGGAACTATGATTCAAAGACATTAGTTCCTACAAGGTTCCAACAAGGTCCAAACTGTCCCTTTTTAGGTAAAAGTATGTAAGTAATAGCATCAAAATATACTTAAAGTACCAAAAGTAAAAGCACATAATGCAGAACTGCCCTTATCAGAATAAGTTATATCACTAGATTATAAATAGTGATGCCTTAAAATGTACATCATTAATGCTGCAGCTGGTAAAGGTGGAGCTCATACCTTATATACTGCTGGGTAGCTTAATCTATAGTAATGCGTCATATTGTATTCGTTGTTACATTTTATTAATAAGATGAATCTGCAAAGTAACAAAGAAATGTAGTGGAGTAAAAAGTTCAATAGTGACTTCCAAAATGTAGTGCAGCAGAAGTATAAAGTGCATAAGATAAAAAAAGATACTCAAGTAAAGCACAAGTACCGTAAGTACAGTACTTGAGTAAATGTACTTAGTTACATACAGTGGTTTTGATCCAGTGTATCTTTAAATTACTTGGTTATTTTAACCCGGACACAATAAGCTTCAAATTTGACCCTAAAACTATAACAAATGAACAAAACCCGTTGTTCATAGGGCACTGAAAACTGTGATGGATGCACATATTATTAAAGATCAAAAGTAAGAAATAGTGCCGTGTCAGTTTAAAGGGAGTAGGTCCGAACAGTTACCCGTACACATCCTACAACTCTCCCATCCGTCCTCCTCATTTCCCCTCTTTGCTTTGACTCACACGTTCCTTCAGTCACTCTTACACTACATGAAAATGCTGATGATCGGTATTTTAAACATTAGACAACAGTTCCCTTCCTTCCCTGTGCACCAGCCACATGTGAGTGTGTAACGTGTATGATGAAGTGCATGTGGGAATGCATGCATGTGTATATAGATATCCACCACCTCAGATGTGGTACAATTAAAAGACTTCACTGCCGAAACAGAGAACAGGCACACATTAGCGGACATACTTCCATTCCTCTCTGATGCATCACTGCATCTATACTTCACCTCCAAGTGGGTTTTAAAACCGTTCCATTCAGCAACTAAGACTTTCCTGAGAAAGTTAGAGTGAGTTTATATGCATTACATTCAAATCCTTCTCTATCTTTGATTCAGCAACTACCTGGGCGGTTAATCCTTCATCCATAAAGACGTTTATTTCTTGTCTGAAGTGAAGGAAGTATGTGTTTTTTTTGTGTTTTTTTTTGTCATGGTGACAGTTTTCTTTTAAAGAGTAGGATGTTCTGGAGGATGAGTACTTTCCCTCACTTACTTCTTTAACTATTCACGGGCATCCTTGAGGATTTGGAGACTTGTTGAGAGTATTGTTGACATGTACTGAATGACAAAAGATAAAGAGAAGCTTTGTGTCGATGCTCTCAGTCATTTACTATTGTAATATACCCAGGCTCGATATAGCGGTGGTGTTTTTCAGCCTCAGTCATCTGTTGTCTTTGCATAACCACAGAGGCGGCAGCGGCATGTTTGTGTGAGTGCGTGCAGCCTTCCCACTTTGTCTTTATTTGTAAACAAGCACACTCATGTGTGTACCAATGTGGGTGTGGGGTCTCTGCGCTGCTTTCCCGCTCTGGGTCTGTTTATTTATTTGTACGTATGTGTGTGTGTGTGTGTGTGTGTGTCTGTGTGTGTGTTTGAGGCCTCTCTTTGGGTTTGACTCTAAAGGCATTGTGGGGATCTTGTGGGGGTTGTTTGTAAACATCAACAGCAAGTACGTTTTATTTTATTGTGGCTTTATTTTTTACGACATTATTCCCAGATGGCTGCTGAAGCTCATAGTTCTTTAATGCATCTACCACACGTTCTGCGCTCCCTCGCCTCACGCCCCGCCGCCACACATGTGCTTTTGCTCTCATACGCAAACAAGCAAATCAGCCTGCAGTGCTGATTCGTTCAGGAATGAGCAGTGAAGAGGAATTCCCCTCCACACATATACACACAGGCCAGAATCAATCCTTTTTATCAATCTAAAATCCTGCCTTTAAAGCACCAGATTGAGTCATTCAAAGTTTAGTGGCAGGAGCTTTTTTTTTCTACTCTTTTTTTTTTTTTCCAGCTCTGACACTGTGGGTGAGCTCTCCCATATTTCTCTTTAATTAAGCCAGGGAAAACCTTGTAGTACAGCCAACCCAGCTCATGTAGCCACTTATGTTTTAATTTAATTACCTGTCCACTTTGATAATTATTCCCCCTGATTAACAGGGAGAGAACGGTTCCTAAATGGGAATAGGAGACGGGTGAGAGGGCCAAGCAGCGTTTTTCTCCTTTCAGCGAGAACAAGAATGAAGGTGTTGACTTAAGATGTCCAAGCCAGCTCTTGTTTTGATCCGGTTTCTTACTTGGCCCTCTTCAGCCCAGCCTGGCCCGGCTTTATTCAGGCTGTGCAGAACACAGATTCCTTCTGAGTTTCCTGTGCTCTGCTTAATTTGGTCATTTTATGCATCCATGAGCCAAAACAGACAAACAACAACTAACAAATCACGACTCTGCAAACAGGCCGGGGTGATTGATATCTTTAGTCAAAATGTCAACAGTTACACAACAACAAGCACAAGGATGATTCAGTCCCTTCGCTCTCTATTGTGCTTCTCTACATTCAGTTACTGGATTCAGGTCGTATGTCACTATAAAGATTTTAAGTAAACATACACTATGGGGTTCAGTTATAAACTTTCTTTTAATAATACCTTCTCCTTTTGTCGATCAAACTTGAAAGTGCACCTTCGTGATAACAGCCACTTAAAAAAGCATCACTCATCACCATCCAGTTGCTCACATTAGCACCCATCAATTCCACGTAGATTTATTGGAGAATTATAACAAAGTGTTCCTGGCAAAAATTTGTCAGGCTCAGAGGAGAGGTGAGTAAGTAAAAAAATTAAATAATATATATATATATATATGTGGATTTTATATATTGAAAGTAAGGTTTACATTTTGTACTACCTTGTCATTTGCAAGTGCCTTCTACATTTCAAGTGTTGATTTTAAAAGTTATTTATTATGTATATAGATAGGTAGATAGGTAGATCGATAGATAGATAGATAGATATGTTCATATACACTCGCACACACAAACACACACCCGCAACATTCGCACACATTCACACACAGACACACGTATTTTAGTGGTATTGATCGTGCTAATGAATGTGTTGTGATTTACTGCAGTCGTGGCCCATGGTGGTACTGTGATTGACTGCCATCATTTTCCAATGGTAAAAGCTTAGATAGAGAAAAGGCAGGAGGGCAGAATAACATTTAATGGCCAAAGCAAAATTATTCCAAGATCTTTTTATGAGTTATGGCACTCTTTTTTTTTTCTCCACTCACTTTTTTTTTGCAGCGACAGGAATGATGTAATTTCCAAATTTCATCAGAGACAGTAATCTCAACACTGATTATGCTGTCAATTAGTAAATGAATGTGGCAGTGAGGGGGAAAAAGGTGGTAATAACTCTGCAAAAGGAGTTGTCAGGCTTCCAAAATACATAAAGGACGTAGTGAGATAGGCAGGCACTAAAAATTGTGCAATCACAATATAACTGTCTATTTGCAAGGTAAGTGTAAAACAAGGGTGAACCCACTGAAACTGATTTTAGGCTTATTTTTTATTTGTGGAATACAGCATTTCTAAGTTGACGTAATTATTTTTGGCATAAATTGATAAAGGTTTCCATGCAGTGTGAAAAAGATGAACGTTATACCACAATATCATCTGTCCAGAGCAACAACAAAAAAAGATATATGAGAAAAATACAAGATATTTATACTTTTTTTTTAATGTAACAAGTGTAAAGCTGAACAATAAGGTGATAAGGTGTAGAAAATCAAAATGTTTAATAGTCGACCAGTTTACTTTGGATGATCGTGCTTTGTTGACGGTTTCTAAGCTCAAAATCTGTGCAGAGTAACATCTGTTCTTCTCTGCCTCCACAATAGCTCAACTCAGCCGGGATGCAAAGAGAGGTCAAAAGATCAGTGCCTTCCTCTCACACACATACACACACACACACACACACGCACACACTGGGAGACAGAGACAGACAGAGAGAGAGAGAGAGAGAGACAGAGAGAGAGAGAGAGAGAGAGAGAGAGATAGGCTCTACCTCTCACCGGCTGCTGTTTTCCTTTTGTGCGCCAGGGCTTTACGAGGATAGGGCAAGCGATGAAAACGCGCACCTGCTTTAGAGGCATTACGGTAGCGCAGCAAACGGTCCCCCTCGCAACACACACACACACTCCACACTCGTACACTCACACAGCCCTAGTGATTCAACCCTGATTTCCAGCAAACGAGCAAGCAACAGACGGGGATGCCAAAAAGTGAGGACCGGTGGAAGGGTTGTTCGCGCTGAATGAGCCTCTTGAAGAGATAGCGAGGGGAAGCAGACGCAACAAAACAAGACAAGAAGCTGCGCGCTTTCTCCGCGGCAACTTGCGCACAGTGCCAGAGTTTTAGCGGCAGTATTGTTCTGACTTCACTCCAGAGGGGCCACTCCGAGGAGAGAGGACGCACACAAAAGGGAAAAGGAAAGGACTAACGAGCACGCTTTGTCGTTTAAAGTAATGGCCGTGCGGTCTTAGATCCTAGAATTCTCTGTCTCTCCCTCTCTCCCCTCTCTGTTTCTTTCCATTTTTTTTTTTTTTTTTTTTTGAATTTTTTTCGTCCCGTCGGCTTGTGTGCCCCTTTGTCGCCGTGAGAGAGAGTGGACGCGCCGGGGGTTTGAGGAGCAGAAGCGGGGCTGTCCACATGGTCCAACCACTGGCGTGAAAGTTGACTTCTCCAGAAAACAAGAGAACAGGTTGATGCATTATCTACACTTTCCTTTCCCCCTTTTTATTTGCCTTCCTCACTCTTTCCTCGCTCTGTGCTTCCATCGAAACTCTCTGATACACACGTTGGTCTCCTAACAAGACATCGAACTTCAACTTTTTCATCGCACATTGTTTGTGAAACTCCACGCGAGGCTAATAATAAAATAGGGTATTATAAACAGCTTGGCACACTCGGGAGTTTCTCCTCTTTCGGACTTCCCTCCGTCCATGTTTCATTTGAACTTTCTTTTCATCGGATTGTTGAACGCTAAACTTATCAGCCACGTATTAAAATCCTCTTTGAAGCTTTCATCTATTCAATTTCTACAATAGCAAGGAGCCGGTGGAATAAGTTTCCTTCTATTTCTTCGCTATACTTTCACACGTGTTATTTACCGCACAGAGGGGAAACTGAAGTTTATTTAAAGCGACGTTTGTTTCAATGTGCAATTTCTTTGAAATAATTTTAAAAAAGAAAAAGAAACAATCAAATGATCATATAGTTTCGTGGACTGAGAGACCGGTGGTTTTTAGAAATTGTCATTGTCGGAAGTCCTCGCTCATGAGGCAACAAAAAGTTTGTCTCGCAGGTTTGGACTAACTAAGATGTCGGGAGGGGATTTGATTGGAGGCAGCAAGCTTAACTTTGCGTGGCCGTAAATAATCCCTGTTAAGGGATTTAATAATAAACACTGACGTTGGTTATGTGGTGATAATTTCACACTCTCGTGTGTGAACGCTTTGTCATCGCGTTGTACCTGTTTCGCTCCCAGACGTTTAGCACTGTCTTTAAATTCTTAAAGTAGTTCAAATAGTTTCATTTAGTTTTTGACAATTAAACAATAACGTTTCAAATAAATAAAAAAAAAGCAGGACTTTGCGCCCCTCACTGAAGATAATAGACCCCCTTGTTTTAAGAGAGAGTAAATGCTTTCTTGTGGATAGTCAATAGGTCAGGGGACAATACTTTCTTTTCAAACCATTTTGACTTTTGAAATTGGAACCGCGATTTGTGACCTCGCTGAGTTCTGTTGCATTTTCCATATTGACTCACCGAATTTAATACATAACAATATGCAGCTCGAGGTCTTAACAGAAGGACGTTGAGGAGTTGTCCACAGTAAAAGTTTAACGGAGAATATTAAAACTGATCTAATCTGTAGGGTTGTATGCTGATAATTAGTGCATTATAACACTGATGCGTCTTTTTACATTTCATAAATTAGATACGTTGCATAAAATACAATAGACGTGTTAGACTGTCGATGATAACAAAATATGCCTGCATGTACGGAGCTGACTTTGACAATATTATAACGTTAGAAATTGAGGGGGTTGAAGTCTGTACCAGAACCTCTACATGACCCATGTTTTTCCTTTTCTTTTCTGCAATCAACAGCCGCCTGAAAGCAGGCCTGCACCACAGGGGGACATTATCCTTTCTTCTTAGAGAAAAGAACAAACTTAAAACCGCTACTATATATTTATTTTTAAATCGCATTCATCTCAATGAGATAAACAGTTAAAATTCCCGTTCGAACCTGTGTTACGTCAACTTTGTTGTGAAAATTAAGTTGCTATCCCCCCAACCCCCCCCCACATAAAAAAAATACATCTAATCAAATTTGATACATCAGCCACAACATTCTCTTATGTCAGATGGACTCAGGTCCCGCGTGATGGAAAGCTGCAGACAAAACCAGCGCGAGAGATGAAACGACAATTAATTGCTGTTAGTTGTCTGTCAGTGAGAGAAAAGCATACAGGCCGTGTGGTTGCACACCCTGACACGGGCATTATTGCCCCGTGATTGATGGGCGCCGGGGCATTTGGCATAATTAATTTTATTTACTGTGTCCTCTCTCTCCTGTTGTGTGCCCCCCCCCCCCCCCCCCCCCCCCCTCCCATCCTCTGTGGTGGCATTTCCGCGACGCAATGACACACTTTTAATTGCACTTTAATAGAAGATCCAGCGAGAATGAAAAAACTCTTCATCACGTCTTATGACCTTGTCACATTTCTGGTGTGATACAGGAAACCAGGTATTTTGTGGTGGCTCGGGGGCCCTGTTGTGAAGTGTATGCAGAATTAGAATTTAAAAAAAAAAATCAACAAAATGAATTACACATTCAGTTGTAGCCTTCATAAAAATCTGCTCATTCATGTTTTAGTGTTCACACATGCTCGTGCAGCAGTTTATTTAAATCAGCAAAATTATATCAGAATTTGAAGATGATTAATTTGTCAATTTTAGCAAAGGCATAATAAGCTGAAAGTATTTTAATTGCATATCAGCACACCTGTATCATTTTAATAATGTGACAATACTTGCATGCTGACAGGAATCCTCAATGCATCCCAGGTAATTCTAATTCTATGTGCTAAATTTGCTGAAATTATTTCCCAGAAATATGAAAAAAAAAAATAATTCAGCCAGTTTTGACTCTGACTTTATTCTTAAATATCTCGTCGCTGCAAGTTCTTTCAACTGCTTCATCCCTCAGGCTCAGCAGCTGAGATGTCTCAGTTACTGTATAAAGAATGACGTTTGGAGTCGTAGGTATGATTTCCAACAATTACTGTACAATTTAGTTACTTGTGCATTTTGATTAAATTGAATGTAGCTCACTGCTAAACGATACGATCTTTTTGTTAAATGCCTACTTCTATTTAAACACTGCAGCATTAACAGTATAAACTCACTGTGAAGTTAACATTTCCATGCTGTGCTTTGCTCATTGATCACATCAGTGACAGGCTTTTCATCGAAATATAATAGGAGACAATGATACAAAAGAGAGTTTGAGAGGCAGAAGTAGTTATTTGGGTAAAAAAAAGAAAGAAAGAGTGTACGTGTGCAGGAAGCCAGAGGTGTCAGATACAGATTGACTCTCTCTGCTCTCCGTCGGCTATTGTGCGTCCGTGTCTGTTTGCCTCAGCATTGCCACCTTTTTTTTATTTTTTATCTGACTTGCCTCAACACTCTTTCCCTCCATGCTTTTTTTCCCCTCACTTCTCTCGACAGCTGTGTCTTTTCCATGTCCTGTTTTGTTTCATTGTTTATACGAGTCGCTCATGTGCTGCTGATTTTTATCACTTTCACACTCTGTTCTTCACCAGGCAATTGTTTCTGTTATGCCGGTGTGTGTGACTCCAGCACATGTATGAGACCGTCTAGAGACGGGCAGTAATGGCTGTGAATCTCATGCGCTTTAAAACCCCTTCAAGCAGGATTAAAAGCCAGCAACATGATTGTGTTAGTCCATAAACTCACTCAGAGAGTCCTTACCTCCGGCACTAGCGCATGTGAATGTATGTGTGGAAGAGTGTATATATCTGAGTGCGGGAGTGTGTGTGTATACGAGAGTGCTTTTTTCTCAATTCACCTGTCCTGCTTGAGTGAAAATGGACAGTATTTGAAGTTTTAAATGTCCTGTGCGTCGGTAGCGTTGATGGCTCGCCTGTCCGTCTCTCCATCTCTCGCGCTCTCCTCATTTAAAGCCCTCCTGCTATCCCAAGCCCACAAGTCTGAGTGGGCTTTTGGCTCCAAAGTGATGTTGAAGAGCACCCGTATACAACTCTGCTATACATGTCGAATTTGACCTGCGATAGATACTCGCAGGTTTACTTCTATTGCAGCACTCAGTGCATTACCTGCTTAAAAAGCTGAAATGGTTAAACTTTCAATATCCTTTAGATGTGGTTTGAGAAAGGCGAAAAAATGTTGCTGTGCAGCGAGTGAAAGCCTGTTTTTAAAATGGAATTGTTTTAAGTGTTTGTCCTGAAACTGTCGTTACTGCACGGTGTGTGTGCATTTGAGCTGAACATGTTTTGGGCTTTTAAATGTTAAAGTGGTGTAGGGTTCGATTTTCCTATATGTTGAAACAACTGTGTAATTATGTGTTAAAATGAAACCTATTTCAATCTATTATAGCTCTCATTTTTAAGGAATAAAACTGTTTCTTCTTTGTGAAATTTAAAAATTTAAATCTACACGTCTCCATATGTAATCGCTGAGTACAATTACGATAGCAACTGTGGCTTGTTACCTCTTAAAATATATGTTAATGGCAAATAATTGACAAATTAATGGATTAAATAAAGGTGTTATTCTTCATGGGCAGCCAGCAAGTGGGGGAGTGCTCTGATTGTGTATTGAAGTGATTGACTGCAGAGTGAAAGTGCCGCCACATTGCTTTAGACTGAGGCCTGATTATACATGTGGTTCTAATTGAACCTGTTATTTAGGAGAAGTTGAGGCTGAATACTTGTGTGTGTGTGTTTGTGTGTGTGTGTGTGTGTGTGTGTGTGTGTGTGTGTGTGTGTGTGTGTGTCTGTCTGTCTGTGCACATAATAAATCCCACACATTTTTCAAAGATGAGACGTGTTTTCACGACGGGTCAGAAGGCGGTGTCACGCAGGGAAGTTGCAGGGCAGTAGAGAGGGAGAGCGGGAAGATGCCTTCAGGAAGTTTTTGGGAAGTTGGCCACCTGTGAGAAAAAGCCGTTGTTGTCTTTTGTCGCCTTTTCGTCCTTTTGTGTCGTTTGAAAGAGCTGTCATTGCATACGTGGTGACAGCAGCCCCGCTCGCAGTCCCAACTTCATTCTTTAAAAAACGCACTTTGCTTCCTCTGATTGATAAGACAATCATTTTGCTTGACACAACGGTTTTAGCCTGTGGTCATTAACATGTCCATGCGTTTCAGATGGGTTTCTCTATAAGTGTGTGTGTGTGTGTGTGGGGTGGCCGGGAGGCAGGCCGGCTCAGAGATGTTTCCCCGGCTCCACAGAGCACCGGCCCATTAACAGCTGATGGATGTGGGAAGGAGTGACCCAACAGCTTAGAGCGGAAGAGACTGCTTCCTACGGGCACCGGAGTGGGGGGGGGGGGTAGGAAAGAAAGGGACGGAGAAAGAGATAGAACAAATGCGTGAAAGGCTGGTGGTAGAAGCGAGGGAAACGACGTGCGTGTGGCTTTTTAGGCGTGG